AGAAAATTGGGTTTGAAATTTGGTTTTGATTGTGGCAGGACCCTTACATATATCTTTCTACCCTTTCTAAATAATGGTGTATAGTCAACAATCTAAGTAACTCAGTGATAATTTTTTTTCGCCGAAAGTAAGAGATGTTGAATTCGAGTCACATGGCATGCAGGTGGTAATTTGATTTCACTGGAAGTAAGAGATCCTGAATTCGAGTCACATGGCATGCGGGTAGGGTGGGATAATGGATGGGAGATGGTTGCCTTCCGTTGTGTAATCAATCATAAAATAATAATAATAAGAATAATAATAATAATGGTGTTGTTTATACCATAAATTACAAAAATTTAAGATCATGCCACATGTCAAAATATTTTTAAATGGATGGAGAAGATTAAGCCATATCAGATTTGTTATTATGGGTTCCATGACAGATCAGCTGCCACATTGGCAGAAAAGGGAGATAAAGATAAGATTTTACTATGTAATTAACTCTTTGAGTAAAGAAATGACTATTTTAGCTGAAATTTAGGAAGAGATTGCAGTTATTTGATGAGGGCATAGGTGGTGAAAATCTAGAAGGAAATCTGATCAGATCAACTGTTGAACTGTCCCACTATCTCGAGAAACCATCTACAACTTTGTAACTGCAGAAAGTGAGGAGTTATTGCTAGCAAAAGGATAACAAAAAGGAAATTTTGGAAAGGAGAACACACAGCCTGCCCTACTTAAACATCTACAAATTTTTAGACTTTATTTTCTCTGCAATTGCTTCCAAATTTCGGATTTCAGCACAATTTTCAATAGATTTAGGTTGTTTTTCATCATTCCAGTAGATAAGCTAATTCATGTATTCGCTTCAACAATTTCGTTTCATGCAATGAACTTCAATCTTTCAAGTTTATTCAATGTACTGTTCATTTTCTGTCTACAATTTATTTAATGTTTATGATAAGTAACATTTCTTTAATGATTACTTATATGACATTCATGCTTCTTCTTAATTTTAAGCATGTTAATTTATTCACTATTTATGTTTAATTTTAGTGTTAATTAGGATTAAATCTCCAATTTTGCAGTAGTTTAATTTCTAGATCTGTCAGTAGATAACATTTTAATTTAACAATGAACACGTTTAATTTAATTTGGGTATATCTTCTTCTCGTAAATTTACTTTAAATTGTATGCTATTTAGTTTAATTAGGATTTGTTAATTTTAAGTCACGGTAGTATTTAAGTTTTTGGAGTTGTTCAAGGCAGATTTCGTAACCCATTCTGCAACAATGTGTCCCTCCCTCTTGCAAATCATCTGTAGGCATAGATTTCAATTTGAATCGAACGTTTTTCCCACCATCCACAAGGAGGTCGACCATGATGAAGGAAAGGGTCGTTGGGAAAGTTCTTATTTCTTACTTTCAGCAAAGTAAGTGATACGCCCGCGTCCCGATTTCATACTGCGAGGCCACTAAAGGATTTTTGGAGAAAGAGGTGTATATATTAAATTTCGTTTGTCATATTGTATTACTATTTTTCTTATAACATAATTATAGTTATCATTGCATAAGGTACTAAACGGTAATGGGAGTTTGCCCACAACCTATAGTCTAAGGTCTTTATGCAGTGCTTAAGTTGTTTAGGCTTTTTTTGTTTAATAAAAGTATAAAATTATAAACAAAATACATTTATAAAATAGAATAATTTAATATGAGAGAAATATGAGGTTATTTACTATTTTATTTCGTTATTTTATTTCTAAATTGTTTTTTTTTTTTTTGAATATTAGTGATTTTATTTCACGATGATGGGGAGGTTTATTTTTACTGCCAACATTATTCATTCCAAAGGGCAATGGAGGTTGACAATTAGGGTTCTCAGACTTTGAAAACAAGGAAATTTCTAGCAGTCACGTCTGATAAGAATTGTTTAAACAGTTTGTTTTTAGATGAACATGTAGTAAGAGCATCTACAATAAAAACAAAGTAAAAACCCGCTTTAATATTGTATTGTATATCACAATAAATATTATTTTATATAAATTTATTTTTGTATTTTAATTTTTAAATAAAATATTTAATAAAATATTTATGTTTTAATACATATATTTAAAACAGAATTTTTAAAAAAATTATATCAATTTTATTTTATTTAACACATTTAAATTAAAAAATTTAAATTAAATAACTTTTTAAAAAATAATTACCAACCGTTTGATCAAAATATAATCTAACAGCAAAAGGCAAAACTAGTGCACCACCAAACAGCTAACCATTCAATTAAACAAAACTCTGTTTTAGAACATGCTTTGATAAATTAAAACTATACTCTTATTCTATTTAAAAATAAAAAATAAAAAAAGGGACGCTGATAGATGCACCTCGTAGACTAGTACCATTCACTATACACCACTTATAAAATTAATATTTTATGATTTTTAATTATTCTCAAACAACTTAAATCAGTTGCCAAACATAAAATACCTTTTTTATTTCTATTTTCAAAGTATTAATTACGATAGTTATTAAACAAAAAAAGCAGTGCTAAGAGCCCTTGCTCCAGCACTCACTCTTTACCACCTCCCATCTATTTTGCCACATCACCTATGAACTTAGGACATGAACTAAGACCGGCAATGGAAAGTGAATTGCTAAAAGACAATTATTAAATAAGTAATAAAAAATGTGAAAAACTGTGTCATCTTCTTCTATGTTGATCTTCTTCTCCAGTTTATCTTTTTCTATATTTATCTTTTTTCATGTTCATCTTCTTCTACAGTTTATCTTCTTCTCTAGTTTATATAAATCTTTTAACAACAATGAAAGATTTTTTTGTCACCTACCAAACATATTTTACCAAATAAATTTTCTTTTTATCTCTAATTTTCTTATCAACCAAACAAGATACTATATTATCAATTTTGTAAAGATTCTAACAAAAATTTATAAAAATTCATTATCTTCTTCTTTCTTTCTTTTTTCTCTCTCCTCCATCATCCTCCTCCAAGTTTGAGAACCTAGATCTAGGAGAACCCACAGGCTCTCTTGGAGAACCTAGATTTGGGTTCTCCTTCAACAGATCAAGGAGGGGGGAAGAGAAGGAAGAAGAGGGGAGGAGAGGGAAAGAAGAACAAAAAGAAAGGAGGAGGAGGGAAAAAAAAAGAAGAAAGTTGAAAATCAAAGAACCAATGATGTGTGAAGAGGAGAACTCGAAAGAGAAGACTTGAGAGGAGATGGGCAGAGAAATGGTGATGGAGAAAGAGAGAGAAAGAGGGAAAACAAGGAAAACGGATGGAATTTAAAGAAATTTTAACATCAAGAATTACATTCAATAGGTTTGCTATGGACAAGTGAGGGATAAGCCATCTAACATAAAAACATTGTATTTTAACTTTTGAATCACAAATGTGTAAGTTGGGGTGTTGGTTCGAAGGGTAAGTATATTATTTCCCTAAAAGAAAACCTGCTCTAATGATTTAATTTCTTTATTTTTGGAACTGCTTTACGCTTCCGGTTTTTATCTTTTATTTTCTTCACTTTTATAAATAGGTATTTCACTTATATGTAGGTGGCACCTCCTTTATCAGTATAAATGTCGTTTTCTTTATGGTTTGGAATCTTGTGACTCCCAATTGTTCTCATTTAAGCATCGGGATCTATATCTTTTTTTTTTCTTTAAAATAAAGATAAAATATTATTAAAATATTACCAGATGAGGTAACAAACCTCTACAAAGTCAATCATATTGATGGTCAGTCAAAACAAAATATAAAACCCATCGTGATCTATATATAATCAGCAATTTCATGTTTTTATGATCCTATCATTTTCAAAAGATTAGTGTCGCAACTGTTCCATATGTAATATGATTTTTTCTCTTTGATCAATTATAAGTTTACACTGTTACATTTACCGTACTGTAGTCGTTATTATCAAGTGTTTTCATGTGCATTACCAGTCTTATGCTCACTTTGGTTCGCACGGGGTTCCATTAAATTCATAGGGAAAATGACTTTTTAATGTGTGCATTATTGCAAGATAGATATGAGATCACTGATATCAAACATACCATGTATATATTAAGCTTGAACCACTTCAAATTATTGAGCTTGGTCGTCTAACAATCGAGTTGAGGTCGTCCCGATTGCATGATAGTTATAATGAGAATGTCCTTACTTAATCTTCTATTCTTGAGATATCTACCTTTTTAGTCATGTCAGATTCTGATTATCTTGTTAAATAAGTTACTTAGATATCTTATTAAGGCTTATAAATACCTCTAAGAATCACTTAAAAGGTAATTGATGAAATTGACCTAAAACTTTCTTTCCTTTTCTCATTAAGAGTAGACTAGATTATTACTAATTTAAATATTAGAGTGTTTACACTAAGAACTAAGCTCGGAGCTTTGTGGGTCTGTTCAAAAAGAAGACATGGATTGAGAAGAATTGATGGTTCATTGCAATTACAATTATATACAAGAAAAGCATTGGAGATAAGATGATATCAAATCCTCCCTTCTTAGGTTGTTTTCCAAAAATGAAAAGAGTTTCCTCTTTCTATCTATTTATGAGGTATTCCATAGTGGGAATATATAGTCCTATTGACCGGAAGATACATAGAAGAAAATCAAGCTGAAATATAACTTCATAGATGCATTTAGTTATAACCATAAAAATAAGTGTTAAAATTATATAAAAATATTATAATTGTATTTGATTTGGCTATTAAAAATAATTAATAATTGTAACTATTAATTGATAATTGATTGAACAATTGATATATTATTTAACAATTTAAAATTAGTTTATAAATTGATGTTTTTAAATATCCTAATTAATTATAAACTAATAAGATTAAACAAACCTAATATAATCATAATATTTATTATGTGTGGCCTTAACATTTATCTGTGTTTTATTTGTGTGGCCATGGCCATGACCTTCATAGATACTAAGTGGAATATATAGCCACAACTACGCTCAGATAGACCAAGCTACAATCTTACATATGAAACCCTGGTGCATGCTAAATGAAGAGATTCCATGTTTTGAGATGATAATTATTGATACAGGGAGTATCACTGATCAGGACATACGTGTGGGAAGATAGGGTAAGGGAACCAAGCACAGATCATGTTTTCTTCTTGCCACAGTGCTGAAAACTTTGGTCATATCAAGATCTTCAGGCTTCTCTTCACCTGGGAGTTTCTAATCAAAATGGAACAACAAATTTGCTATCTTGATCTCGATCATGGCCATACCAAATGACATACCGGGACAAATTCTCCTCCCTGTGCCAAAGGGTATAAATTCAAAGCAATTTCCTTTATAGTCAATGGTGCTATCCAAGAATCTCTCTGGAAAGAACTTGTCGGCTTCAGTCCAATAATTTGGATCCCTTCCTAACGCCCAGGCATTGATTATGACTCTTGAGTTGTCAGGTATCTCATATCCATTAATCTTACATCTCTCTGTGCTTTGTCTTGGAGCCAGCAAAGTAACAACAGTGTGCAACCTCAAGAGTCAGGTACTTCAGCTCATCAAGGCGTGCTTCATCAACACCACCTTCACCGGCGAAGACATGCCTCACCTCAGCTTGTGCCTTTTCCATTATTCTAGGATTTCTCAGCATTTCTGACATTGCCCATTCCACAACCGTACTTGATGTGTCACTACCAGCAGTGAACATATCCTAGAAGAGAATTAATTAATTAGTTTAGACTTTGGACAAAGTAACTAATTATAAGTTGACAAATTACATATATATATGCATGGGAAGAGGTCAGAGTACACCAACCAGGATAATAGCTTTGATGTTGTCTGTTGTTAAGGGAATTTCAAGTTCTCCCTCATCTTGAAGATCCAAAAGTACAGACACAAGATCATCTTGCTCGGTACGTCCTGCAGCTCTCTTAGCTCTGTGTTCCATGATGATGTTTTCAAGAATTTCGTCTACTTTCTGATGCAACTTCTTCGATTTTGGCCTTGTAACATTTATGAAATGGAGCTACTTGATGGAAGGGAACAAATCAGCAAGACTTAAGCCTCCAAATAATGCTATTATGTCCGGAATCAGCTTCCTGAATTCTTCTTGGTGTATAGACTTTCCACCAAAGGCTGCCCTGGAGATGATGGAAAGTGCTGAAGAAATCACCACCTTTTTTATGTTGATTACCGATCTTGCTTTCGATGAAATGTCTCCAATTAAATTCGACATCTCTTCTTCTCTAAGTGATCTGAATGATTGTACCCGCATATGAGTTAGTAGCTCTGTACTGCATATTTTTCTTGCTTGCCGCCGGTAGTCTCCATATGGTGCCATCGCAATATCTGTAAAATTGTAAGTTAATAACTTTACAGAATGAAGAGGAGGCCTGCTAGAAAAAATTAGGTCGTGGGTTTTCAACACAGCTTTTGCAGTTTCTTCTGAGGAGAAGACGAAGGCGGGGAGTTGGCCAAGTTGTAGGTGCATGACAGAGCCATCTCTCTTGGCCAAGGCCCGGAAGCAGTGATGTGCAGGAGCGGTGATAAAGAGGTGGAGGTTTCCTATGAATGGTAGTTTCCGGAGTCCAGGAGGCAGTTTTGATGCATCTACTGATTTTTTCCATTTCCTCAAGGTCATTCCTATGTAGAGGAACGTGAGAAAGAAAGAAAGGTACAGGACTTGGTTCTCCATCTGAACAAGGGAGAGGAACATGTTAGATTGGAGGCCTAACTTTCTACTACCTTAATTTTTTTTTTTCTTTTTGTGATTGGGCAATTATAGAGAGGGAGAAAGGCCACTACAGCATCCCGCAATGGAGTAGTGCGGGACCTCACATTTCCATGGAAGCTTAAATATGAGATGAGAGTTCTCAAATACTCTCAATGTACAATCGAGTAGTATCACGTAATCTATTTAATTATAGTATTTATTATGTACTAATTTTTTAAAATTGATATTGTAACTCTTTGTATTTAATTATTTATATATGTAAAGCACAAAAATATCTATTAGTAGTACTACATGTATGAGGCAAAATTTATTAATATTTTTGTGTAATCTTTTTTAATTATTAAACATATAAA